CCCGTCCAGCGACAACGAGATTTTGACGCGGACGCGAGGCTCGCCGGTAACGCCTTAACGGTCGGTGCCCCCGCCGGAATTCCTGTCCGTCCAGCGTTTCCCAGCGAAAAGTGCGATCTGAAAAAGCGTTGCACATCGAAATTTAAAATGCAGACGACGACTTACTAGTCGCGTATACGACTCGAGAATGGAATCCGAACAGCTGCATCTCGTATTCCTCGCGTTTGCGCTTCCGTAACTCGGAAGCGGCGTCGCTCTCCATGATGAGACGAGAATCTTCTACTTTCAAACCGGCAAAGGTCCTCGATACCCTCAGACTTGCAACTGTATCCGGCGTCGGCACTCGGCCGACTCGGCGACGGGCGGCAAACGGCTGCTGAGAGTGCTGAGCTGCTCGTTCCTCTCGCACCAGCACGAGAGCACCTTGACTTGACGTCCGTTGACAAATGAATATGGCGTCCCTGCTGGTCCCTCCGCTTGCCCTGCGTACGAACGCGTCCTTTGTCCCAGTCCCGTCTCCCGTCCCGCCATGTTCGCCAATTGACAAGTCGCGGGATGCGATGGCGGCGATGGCGGCGATGGCGCAGTGGGGCACGCTGACAACGGCCACGAACGGCCCCCAATCCCAATCACGGATCAAAAAGAATCTTTTTCTGGTAGCGCCGCCTCGGACGACGGATGTCTTTCAAATTCGAATCTCATTCACCATAAATTTCGATCGGTCACGAGGAGAGCTGTGTCGATAAATGACTTTGACAGAAATGCATTTTATCGATGAGGAAAGAATTGACCAATCGCAATGGTCATCTGATCAAATTGTTCAAATGTGATTTGTTAATTTTTTCTCTGTCGGAGATCTCGGATCGATTCCTAGCATCGTGGACATCGGGCTTAAAGCGGGAAGCACAGCCTCTTGCATAAGCTCTGTGTCAAAGCGCTGTTGCCCGTATGAGGATCCGGGCTTATGCAAGAGTCTGTGCTCCCCGCTTTAAGGGGATGCTGGAGTGTTTTGTTTTATCATTATAATTTTTAAAGACTCTTCTCTTAAAGCGATGTTAAAGCCTCCTGTTTTACCACATTTCCATTCGGTGAAAAATTTCTGTATTGGATGTACGGATTGCAAAAGTATTATTGCTTAAAGTACGCACAAACAGGACCTCAGCTGTACTGGATTTCGTGAGAAAATTGAAAAAAAGTTTCAGATTCGTTAAAAATTCACTTATTTTTGGCTCGTACAGCTGTCACCTCAGATATATATTT